CCCAAAGACGCCCCACTGCTCAGACACAAAGAGGATGGCTTGTCTCAGGAAGGAGCCATTGAAAGGGCACTCTCTGCCTGTCCCCAGTCAGATGCCCTCAGATGTGATGTCACACAAGAGAATCTCAGACTTATCTGAATTGGCCAGAAAGTCTCTGTTAGGGCAGAGAATGGAGGCTTTCCTAAGTTAATAACCTCCTCCTTCTGTCCACATCCCAAGGGTGGAAGGTGATCTCAGCTTTGTGCCTTCCTCTCCTGTGCAGTCCTTGGTGGTCCGGCGGCAGGAGAACACCTACCCTCATCATAGAAGAAATGCATTGTCAGGTTCCCCTCTTCTTCCGTGACAGCATTTTTCCTAGCTCTGTCTTAGAGTGTTTGTGCCATTAAGCCCTGTGTATTGTACAGCCAGAGTTGCCTGTTCTAAGCGTCAGTTGTCTGGGCCAGATGTCAATTGCCCTATTGTACGTTAGTCAGCTTACTGTTGCCATAATAAATACCCAAAGTCAATGAACTTCACATGAAGAAAGGTTTATTTTGGGTCACTGTTTTGGAGACTTCAATCCATGATTACGTGTCCCCATTTTGGGACATGTGGTGAGGCAGCACATCATGGTTGGAGCATGTGGTGAAGAAGGCTGCCTGCAGAATGACAGCTGGGAAGTATAGAGGTCAAGGGCAGGGGCCAGGGCCCTTCAAAGGCACGCCTAAAGTGACCTTATTTCCTTCAATTAGATTCCATCAACTAATAATGTAACAGGCAGGAGGCTAAGCCTTTTAGCACATGGGCCTTTAAGATACACTTATCTTGACCTCAGCACCTCACAAATGGGAAGGACTGAGAGACTGTGTGTCTATCTGCAGGTCTAAATTTATGTTTGTTCAACCAGTAGCCCATTGGTCTTGCCAAGATGGCTGGAAATACTGAGCTTCCGAAATGTACGTAGGAACAATTCTAGAGAGAACGAGAGGCAATCTTTTGATTGTAGATGGGGAAGGAAGAGAAAAGGGCTGAGCAGACACGTGATCAGGGCAGATTCTGGGTATAAAATGACATGTACCATGACACACACCTGTTCTTCCCCATTCCAGGAGAAAGCAAAGGAGGAAAAGAAAGAAGGAAAAGGGAATTGACAGTCATTTATTTTTTTTTAGATACCTTTACACTCTGATCCACATGTCTGAACTTGCAAGACATGGCTTCCTCCTCCCTCAGAGAAGACGCCTTTCAATGGTATGCACTGTCTGTGAGGATGAGCAAAGAACCTGTCAGTGGCAGAGCGGGCCAATAGTTGGCTCCCAGCCTCCAGGCCTCGTCTAGCTGAAGTTTGAATTTATAAAATGGGTGTGGGTATAAAGAGTCTTACACAGCATTCAGGACTGTGTTCTTAGCCTCATTCCTTAGTCTCTCTTTAGAAATTACTGAACAAACCTTATCATTTGCTGGATGTAATTATGCTGAGCACCTTATAATTGTGAACTCATTTAGTTCTCATAGCAACCCCTCTGACGTGGGTACCATTATCACCTGCATTTGACAAGGCCACCATTATTCCAGAGCCTGCAGCCCTGCCCTGTAGTCTGGTCAAGTCTTACCTATAAGGCATTATTTCCTACTCTGCAACAACAGCTACTCAGCGATTCACATCTCCTTGGGGCTTTCTTCTAGGTAAGGCTTGATGAGGGGCTGACTAGGGTAAGGATTTTGTGAATATTTTGTCTCTCCCAGGAGGTACCACAGACCATGGTACCTACTTTGCACTTAGTGAATGTATTTTTCAGCCACAGCTCCTAGCCTCCACCAGCTGGGCCACTCTGTTCTCCATGGAGCAAGTTGTGGAATAAACAGTTTGGGCTTTTCGTTTTGCATCCCAGCTGCTATTCAGACCATTTGCCACACTCCTGGGTCTCGGTACCCTGGCTTCCTCCTGACTGTTTATTATTGCAAGAAGCAGCTCTAGAGCTGCCAGCTAGGTGTGACCAACCTCTCTTGGGTCTGTTTGTTCCACCACATGTAGCCACCCACTGCAAAAAGTGGCGCCCTTGAAAGTATCTCCGCCCTCAAGACTTCTCTCCTCTGCCCTGGGAAGTTGCCTAGCAACCTCCCTCTTCCTTCTCTCCCCACGCTCTCGTGCAGCTCCATTCTCATTTCCATCACTCCAGCACCCACCCCCAGCTTCTCTTCAGTGCCATTAAGCCACACGTCTCTGCTTCAGCGGCCCACTATCCAACTTCCCCAGACTGCATTATAAAACAAACCTATGCTGAAGCATCCTTCTCTTTCTCCCTTCGACAGTTCTGCGAGACTCTTCACACCACCACCCTTTCACTATTAACCTCCAGAGCAAACTACCAAAGAAGACAAAAGCAAAGGGCAACCAAGATGAAACACAAAGAAGCAAAAATCCCCCAAAACAAAAGATTGAAATTCCTTAAGGCCACTCAACAAGCATCATGATAGTTTGGGGTATGTCTGCCATTATTATGGCTGCTACGGACTCACAGACAGCAGATGGTGCCTTGCCAAGCCCACCTCCTTACAGAGAAAGGTGGTCTCTGTGTGAAACAGAGAGTCACCCCTTCTTAACATCAGTCAGAACATCTGCTTGGCTCAGCCCTGACTTTCAACAGCAAAATTTCACTTCTCTGCCCTGAATTTAGATCTAATTGCATCTGCTAAACCAGGGCTTCATAGACATCTGCATTCATATGACCCCTACGTGCCTGAGAAGTTCTTATATGACTCAAAGAGTATACAGATACATAAAATGGGCACACAAAGCAGACATTTACCAATAATAAATCATAAAGAAATTTGTTTTAAAGTCACTCTTTGGGGGTCCTGGAGAGAGAGAGCTCTGTTGGTAAAGTGCTTACCTTGCAAGTCAGAGGACCTGTATTTGATTCCCAGAAGCCATGTTAAAAAAACTGGACACGGAGGCATATGTTTGTAATCACAGCCCTGGGAGGGGGAAGAGACAGATGGATGCTTGGGCCTCACTATCCAGCCTGCCTAGTCTATTTGTGAGTTCCAGCAGGTCAGTGAGAGACCTTGTTTCCAAAAAAATGTGGATAGCACCTGAAGAACTCCAGCTGAGGTTGTCCGCTGGCTTCTAGATGCATGCATGTGTGTGCACACAAACTTCTACTTATACACACACACACACACACACACACACACACACACACACCACAATAATTCAGTATCCACATAACTTAGAGTTTATTAAAGATTAAAGCAAATTTACATACTCCAGAGATAAAGGCATGTGTTGATGCTTACAAAAGAATTAATCGCGGCTAAATATTGTCACTGTGGAATGAAGAGAATCTTCAACACTTTTTGGAGTTGATCATAATTTGGTGTTACGGTAAAAAACACAGAGAATGGTGCTTTGTATGAATACATAGTGTAAAATAGTAGATACATGTTTAGGACCTTTCAGAAATTGTTAGAAATTCTTCCTACGCCCAAATGTATTCAATAACTAAAAAAATTAAACACAAGGCAGCCACTCAAACTGCAATTTTGAAAATCAAACATTTGAACCCAATTGCGATCCAAAGTTCCGCTGATTCAATACTTACATGGCGGTCAGAGAAAGTGAAAGCCGTTGTCTTCTGTAATTAATCCATTATAATCCTGGAAGAGCAGAAATTTGGTACGTAAAGTAAAACACTGCAGCTCATGACATACAGAAGTCATGAATCTGAGCCAATGGGTTTCAGGTGACAGTTTGTGTTTTCGTGACACATTCAGGGTAAGATGTGCGTGTGGTGTGCTGAGAACTAAGGTGGCGGTGAAGTCACGTGATGGAGCAGGAGCCAGCTTCTGCCAGAAACACCCCAGGCTCAGGCCAGGTTAATTTTCAGTTCATTTTTCGTCCCCGTGTCTTCAAAAGGCCTCTACTGTGTCAAATTTCTCACGACACCTACTTAGAGTTGCATGATCCCATGTGGGGTCACGACCCACAGTTTGAGAATCTGAGGGCCAAGGAGTTGGCTCAGTGGATAAGGGCACTTGCCACCAAGCCTACCAGTTTGAATTCGATCCCGGGGCCCCACACAGTGGGAAGGAGAGAAGCAATTCTTCCAAGCTGTCCTCTGACCTCACTTGCGCATTGTGCCGTGTACATACACAAAACTTAATTAGTTAGTATAATAAAAAGGTCGTGAGTCTGGGCACTAGATTACTATTTAGGGAAAAAAAAAATCGAGCGTCACCATGGCCCTCCTATCTGGAGGATGAGCTGTGCTGGCGACAGACCTGCATTTTACCAAGACACATTCCATGACCCTCCACCTTCCCCAGCACATAATCCCCAAGGTGACAAGTTGCAAGTAGGGAAAGGGAATTCAAAGGGACCAAATTATTGTCATTTCCCCCAGTGCTGCCCGATAATCACAATGATCCTTGGCTTCGGGAGTCCCTCTGAGATGTTTAGCCCTGTGTGGCTCCAAGCTAGACTTCCAGCTCTGGTCAGAGTCCTCGGAGGGATGGACGGTGACTGGGGACAGCACAGCTGTAAAGGAGGGAGGACATCAGCCCCTTTGGGGACCACTGTGCATAGCTGTTTTGGTCTGCACCACACAATCTGCACAGTCAGACTGGAAAAGCTCTGGATCTTCCAGATCTCATTGTTATTCAGCTGTCTTCACTCACACTTCATCCTGTCTCCCTGGTTTTGAAAGCTCTCTATTGGACAGGGGTGCTGCTCACTTGTAGACAGTGTGCTTTGTATACGTGGGGTGCCAGGTTCCATCCCAGCACTTGGATAAAAATCAAAATCCAAAACAAAAAACATGTCCTATCCAAACCGGACAATGGTGGCACACACCGCTCATCCCAGCACTCTGGAGGCAGAGGTAGGTGGATCTCTGTGAGTTCAAGGTCAGCCTGGTCTGCAAAGAGAGTTCCAGGACAGACAGGGCTGTTACACAGAGAAACCCTGTCTCAAAAAAAACCAAAAGAAAGAGGAAAAAAAAAAAACAGAAGAAAAATGTTCTATCTAAACAAGTAGCCTCATGTAAGTACACTTGTACCATAATGGAATTAAAAATCAATTGAAAACTGTTTCAGTGTGTGTTGTCTGGTTTTGCTGACGTTTTCTAGCAGAGAAGTCATAAAAGGGATGCAAGCAAGAACACATCCAGGCTCATCTATCCCTGGCTGTAGCCAGACTCCACGGTCCTCTTCTGTGTGGCCCCTGTCTAGATCTAGGTTTGATAACAGAGGTTCAGGAGCAAACACTAGGAGCAGCTGGACCAGGACCCAAAGAGAAACATGCAACTTAATAATACGAGCACTCAGCTGAATGCCTCTTCTCATTGGACTGCTTATGCCTTCTTATCTCTTAGGCTCAGGAGACCGGGCTCTGCTAAATTTGCTGCCACTGTCCACACCAGGAGGACTGGAGGGCATAGGTGAGGCTGGCAGCATGATTGTGCACACAAATTTATGCCACTTGCAGAATTAATTCTTCGTCGAGGTTTTGCATTCCCGCAGCATTTCTTTCAAGGTCTAAATGCTGAGTGTTGGAAAAACTGCTACATGGGCCAAGACTAGGGAGTACTGTCATGTTACTCTGGGAAAAGTTAGACATAATATTAATATTGTATTATCATTATGTGGGTATTAGATGCCAGACCCCTAGACAAATGCTCTTTGTGCCCCCCCCCCCAATTTGGTTTTTACTACAACCCTGTGGTTGCCCCTACTGCCTTCTCCATTGCAGACGAAGAAAAAGAGGTTCTTGGAGATGAAGTAGCCTTTGATGACTGGTGATCTTCCAGGGTTCGGAGACTGAAGGCCTTCTTCCAAGTGACTTTAGCATTAACTTTAATAATTCCTTTTGCTTGAGAGCCATTCCTTTTGAAAGCAGGAAAATTCCATATGCCAGGAATAAAAATCAGAAGCCCTGCTCATTACTGACGCAGCAGCAGCAGCAGGGAGTCACACCTCCCAGATTTTCCAGGCTCTCTGGATGCCATATTAGCTTTCCACATGTGCTCTTCTCACGCCCCCCTCAGACACTATCTTGGAGAACAAATACCCGTGAGACATTTCAAGGATGCTTCAGTGAGCCTGTCTCCCTCCCTATCCCTTTGCAGTTTTCAGTGCAGAAACAGCCACAGTGTGATCTCTGGATCAAGAGAGAACATTGTGGGATGGTCTGGCTGCACTCACTTGTGCCGACAGGGCTGGTGGGTTCCCCACATACCTGCCAGAAGTTTGTCATCTCCGTGGTTTGTTGTACCCTGAGGAGAAGTGGGGGGAGCCACATGGAGCTCACAAGGGAATGGAAGCCAGAGAAACAGTAGCCCGCTACTCTTTCTGAGTCATCTGGAAGCTATCTTTGATTACAATAGGGACGCAGAACTGTTAAATTCCTATAAAAGAGTGAGCCTTTTGGGCTCAAGACCCAACAGCACTGACCAATCATATTAACATTTGAATCAGACCCTACAAGACAATTTGTTATTCTTCCCTAGGGGTTGCTTCATGGAACAGTGAGATGGAACATTGGACCACCTAAGGAGTGCTGTGTGTGGGGGGGGGGAGGGATTAAAGATGTGGAAGATGTGTATGTTTGTTTATCTGCCAGTGATTTTTTAGCAGAGAGCATCACAATGTTTTGATGAAGGAATACCTTGTTCTAACTCATAGAAAGGTGCCATATGGTCTATCAGTGATTCTGTTACTCCTCATGATGGAGAAAGCAGCTGGCTCAGTGGTAGGAAAACCCTGAAGTGGGGACATCAGTAGATGAGATGTCTACCGAGAGAGGGAAAGAGTACCTGGATTCGAAGCTTCCTTTACCACTTGGGGTTCTGCATATGTCCTTTTATTGGTGAAGTTGGTTTCTTATCTGTCACAACAGTAGTGCCAGCATCTGTGTGTGTGGTCTTTTGTTAGTCACAATGTTAGAGCAATCATTTCACTATTGATATTATTAATCTACTACCACATTGTCATAAATTAAAATATTCTATGTTCAAACCAGGGCCCTTGGCTAGCAATGCACCAGGACCAATTTGTTCATGTCCTCCGGCCAGCCACTAAACAAGAAAATGGCTTTCCAGTGCTTAAACTGACCAAGAAGTTCAATGTCATATCTGGTGCTGATACCCAAGGCTTCAGAGTGCTCAGTGTTTTTGCTATGATGAGACACTACGAGGTCACAAGAAGAAAGTGATTCCATGGTGGTGGATTCCCAGGCACTTCTTCACTTCTTCAGCCTCTGACCAGCTTTGTACTTTGTGGTAAGCACTGCACTCAGCTAGGAAGCAGAAGTGAATGTGTGGCAATGAAATTAGATGTGCCAAGTAGACTAAAATAGCCAATTGCCAGACACCACATTGTAGACCACTAAGTCTTTCTCAGGTGACTGTTCAGGAAAGGACTCAGGGTTGAAGGAACAGATTGCCCTCCACGTTCCCTCCATCTGTACTTTCTTTACCACCCTCAATGTCCTCTCCTCATCCACAACCAACCAGATCAAGAGGAAAAAGCACAGAGGAACAAGTGTGAGGAACTTCTTGGGATGGACAAGAAGAAGGCCTGATCAGGTCGTCTCCATCAGAGAGTGCTGAGCACTCAGAGTGGAGGGCTTAGGCAACATGTGCCTGGACTCCTGACCTGTGCACATGGCATGTAATAAATACGTGTTGCTTAAGTCACTTAAGTCATATGGTCAACCCACAGTATAAGAGAAGCTGTGAAATCAGTAAGTGTAGCTACTGGTGACCTCCACAGGACATCCCATGTCATGAGATGACCAAGAGTTGTTGGCCATGGGAACAGATGTTAAACAGTAGAAACTGGGGCTTTGTTCTGATCAGGGTGAGTAGGAAGCCTGTGAGAAGAAGTAAAGACAGTGGTTCCATAAAGGGAGCTGGCAGCCACAGCCAGCAGGCCTACCATATTGTTGAACACAGTGAGTAAGTGCTGTTGGCCACCCAGGGAAAGGTCCCATCAGTGGTGCTAGTTCCTGACTCCAGGATGCGTTTGTGACCACTTTAAATGGGGCCAACTTAATCCATGTCCTTCTGAATACACTTCAACTGTGCCTTCCATGGGTAAAGGGTATGTATTTAGTGGTGCTGAAGGGAGATGGATATGACTTGGAGGGACACATTGGTGCTCAGGCCTTTGGTGGCCCATCACTCAAGCTTGTAAGGAAAGCTGTTGACTCATCTGAGTCTGAAATATGACAGTTACAACAGTCACAAGCCGCCATCTGTGGAGGGCATTGTTCTAGAATGACCCTAAGATTCTCACCCCTTGGCACAAACACCATGTGCCCTCCTTTTGAGAGTGTTTGGGACATGGTGACATGATGAACAGTGGCTTCTAGAATTAATTTGAGTGGCAAAGCTGCTAAGTTATGGGCTTGGCTCTTTGATGCCCACAAAGACCCATATGTAAAAGGCTAGGTTGCCAACTGTAACACTGTTGGGAGGTGACAGAAACCTTAGGAGGTGTGGCCTAGTGGAAGGAAGTGAGGGCACTGAGCATGTGCTCTTGAGGGGGATATTGAGATCATTGGCCCAACAGGATATGGGATCCTGGCTCATCCCTTTCTTCTCTCTTCTGCTTTCCAGCTGCCATGATGGGAATGACCTTGACTGACAGTATGTTTTCACCATGGTACTCTCTCCGGCCACAGGCCCAAGGAGATGAGGGTCAGGTGATTGTGGGCCGAAGCTTCTGAGACTCTGGGCCAAAATCAACTTTTTTCTTTACTGCAATGGAAAACTAACTGATAGATGCTAGGATGGTCAACTGCAGTACAGAAAAAGACACCATCATCTGCCAGCTGGAGAGAGGGTTCCCCGCTGCCTTGGAAATACGCTGCCCTGTGGTCAAGTGACTAGGACTCAAGGAGAGCACCTGGGAGTTGAGGCTGACCCCAGTTATCAACAGCAGGAAGTCTGGCATTCAATCTCTGAGGGATAACTGCAAGGAACTGAACATTGCAGCAACTACATGAGTGTGGAAAAGAACTCCAAGCTTGACCCAAGACCACAACTCTTACCAGGCCCTTGATTTCAGAGTGGAGGGCTTCAGCAACATGTGCCTGGACTCCCGACCTGTGCACATGGGATGTAATAAATATGTGTTGCTTAAGTCACTGTGTCTGTGGCAATTTGTTACACAGCAATAGAAAGCTAATAGAGGGTAATTGGATGAGTCACTTAGCTTTTCTGACATCCCAGTTTTTTTGGATTTTTTTCTTTCTTTTTTTTTTTAATTTCTGAAATGAGTTTTCCAACTCGATTTAGTGAGATAACCTATCTGAAGGAGTTTCATAAATTGTCAACTCATTAACACCAGTGAAAAGGGTTTATTAACAATATGCAATAACAATAAATTAATGTTGAGAAGAAAAACAAGGATCTAAGCCTTTGTCTTTTTTAAAAGCATATCTAATTAGTGCTTATTTTTAGAAATCATACTGGTCTTCTCTATCTAATGTTCTATTTTTTTTCTCCTCCGTAGCAATCAGAGTTAGCGAAGCCCGCTGGCAGGAGACGCGGGGTGATTCTGGGAATGTCTGTGAGATGGATTGCATTGTGTAGATTAGTCCTATTTAAGACGTAGCCATGGGAAGACTGTGTACATATTCTGCCTCCAGTTATCTCAAGCTCTAAATCCTCTAGCTGGAGTTGCCATTGCACTGAGAATAAAAAGTGGTCTAATGGTGTACAGACCCAACAAATGTCGACAGGAACCGTCAGTGTCATTGGAACACAGTAGTCAAATGACCTTCTAATTTTTAAGTTTCTTCAAGGGCTTGTCTGCTTGACTAGATATAAATATTGATATAAAATAATACGGAGGATTTGGAGAGAAAGACAGAAAGATACTATTTTTGCAGGTTAGTCATCAGGACTTTAAAAAAATCAAATAAATGAAAATCTCATCATTGCTATTGAGTAATTTGAAGTCCTATTAAAAAAATCTAATGGCCCCAGATTCTTGGAAAATGTAGCTGACTAATGATGGAAAAGTGTATGCAAGTGACATTTACAGATCCTGAGATAATATAAAATGGAGGCATTGTTAACCAAGGCTTGTATTTGCCCACTCACAATCACTTCCACATACATTATCAATCATTTCACATGCGAAATTATGAAGTTATTCAGAAAGATATTGTGATAGCTTGAATATAATTGGTCCCTATGATAAGGAGTGGTGCTATTAGGAGGTGTAGCTTTGGTGGAGTGGGTTTGGCCTTGTTAGAGGAAGTATGTCACTGTGGGGACAGACTTTGAGGTTTCCTATGCTCAAGATATGGCCTAGTGTCTCAGTCGACTTCCTGTTGCCTCCAAGTTGTAGGACTCTCAACTACTCCTCCAGCACCATGTCTGCCTGCAGGCTGCCATGTTCCCCATCATGATGATATTGTGCTGAACTTCTGAAATTGTAAGTGAGCCACCCCAATAAGATATTTCCTTTGTAAGTGTTGCCATGGTCATGGTGTCTCTTCACTGCAATAGAAACCCTAAGACAAATATTTAGTTTTTTATATGGGAAGATTTTAAGTTCCCAGGGAAAACATGAGTTTCAAAGGGTTTTCACCACACTGATATTTTCTATGATGGTTGAAAGGCACTGATGGGTAGAACTGCCTTACCAGCCACAGTATGGGTAGCCAGTCCTCCCGGGATAATCCTGTTCTTCATTGCTAGGAGCTCACAGTAAACCGAACACAGAAACACTGAAAAACCAAATCACTTGCATGTGTGAATGTTCTTGATGAAGCCAAAACAAGTATCAGCCACTTTACTAATTATTTTTAATATTGTATGAAAAAAATGAGATGCATGATAAAGCCCTGGTAGTATAGGCCAAATTATGGTGGTTGCCTTGGGAAATAGCATTTGTGCGATTGGTTGGGTAACAAACTAAACTAGCTATTCCCTGCCCCAGAATCATCTTTATTTGAGATAAACATTTGGAAGTCATTGTTTTCATAGTGATAGGCAAATCAATACCTTCGATGAAAGTAACTAGCAGGATTTGGTACTAAAGACATCTTTTGTGAAATCAAGCAGCTATTAGAATTTTTGAAAATTTACTGGCTATTTCTCAATAGGTAAGGCTTTGCTGATAAGCTTGTGATGACATTAATTAGCATATTTTATTATCTCATGGAATGTGTGGATATAGGATTGGTCTGCCTAATTTCATGAGCCAATATTTTTCAAATGCCCAGACTGATGGTATTATAAATTCCCATGTGGGGGAAGGCTATTATTCAAAGCAGACCAATATAATTTACTATAACCATCAAGAGTTCCTGATTATGATTTCTCTCTAATTATACACGGTAACTCTATCAGTTACTTCCCTTACTACTGTGAGCACTTACCGGCAGACACAACGGTCCTTGAAGGAGGAAGGATTGATGTGCGCTCACGGTTTCAGAGCACACAGCCCATTGTGGCCATGCAGACTTTGCAGAACAGTTCCACAGCAACAGGAGTGTGAGGCAGCTCCTGATACATCCCTGCAGGTCCGGAAGCAGAGACCAGCTCTCCAAAACTGTCCATATCTGAACCTCTAGAAACTGCATAGACATGGTTGAGTTAAGGACTCTTGGAGGGGGCAATAACCTTGGATACATCAGATGGGATTTTGTTCCTCACAAAGGGACTGGGGGCGGGGGGGAGGGGGCGGGGGGGGGGGAAGCAAGTGAAACAGAGTCAGTAGATGCAAGGCTAGGGACAGAGGCCTCGGTGATATGGGGAAGGGATCACAAGCCAGGCGGGGCAGGTGGCCTCTAAAAGCTGAACGAAGCAGGCAACCAGACTCCTGTTAGAGCAACCCATGCTGGCACCTTGACTTGAGCCCAGTGGGACCCATTTTGTATTTCTAGCCACTAAGACAGTCAGGGCTGTCTTGCACTATGACATATTACTGCATTTACAGTTATTTGCTTCAGCAAAAGTGGAACACTAATACAGGCTCATCAGTACATCCATAAGACAGTGAAAGTGTTCCAGTACCAAAAAGTTTGAGAACCACAACTTGCAGCAACCTGAGAACAGCTTTGATGGAGTCAGACTTGAGTTATCTACAAGTTTCCAGCATAAAGCCAGGACCTATCAAATCATATTATTATAAGGACCCCTTTGGAGATGGCTATCATTGAAATACGTGGTCTCCAAAAGGGTCATTATGTCAAAGTGATCCAGGGTCCTGGAACACAAGAAGAGCTTCCTAAATGAGTATACAGTAAGAGATTAGCATGGAAGAAGCCCCCTTTCTCCCTGTCACTTTAACTGCCCATTTCCAACGATGCTATGATTTATGAGGTCCTGGCTTCATGCTCGGGGCTTGCTACCTTTATCTCCTAAGACACGGCAGGTTAAGCCCAGCATAGCCAAGGCACCTATTCAAGACACAGGACCAGCAACTGGACATCAGTCTCCACTGGTCACATCCTTAGACCACCATCTTTCCACCATGGCCCCTCTGGATTTGGATGCATCTACCCAATGCTGATAGATACTACGCCATCAGGAGGAACTTTGAGATAGGCTCAGGTGGGCACAGGGGGCCAGGGAGGGCAGGTGATGCTCACTGAGATCACCGCTTCCATGTCACCAGGTGTCCTGTTCCTGCACTGGCAAGACTCTTAGACAATTTATCCAAAAAGCCACTTGTTTTCATCTGGATGAGTTTATCTCCCTGGGATTTCAAATGAAAGGAATAAATAAGTTTAACGCAAGGGAACAATGGCTGAGTCGCTTAAGCCTCGGTGGCAAGCATTATCTAATACAATTTTCCAGAAATTGTCATCATTACCGCTTGTCTTCTGGAGGCATGAGGCACTCGGAACGGAGTGTTACCATGGAGCCTATGATCTTCAGCAATTTTTCTTTTTGTTCAGTTTTCCTTGGTAAATATTTTTCTTACTTTGTCTTTGAGCTGAAATACGATGGCAAAGGACAGACTGGTCCTGAAGTACCCTTTTAGCGGTTCCTCCACTGACTGGTGGCTAACAAGTTAATCAAGCTTCCTGTTCATTAACTTTAATAATTAGTTGAAATATGGTCCTACCGAATGGCTATTACCTTGGCCGTGGATGGCTAACCAGCCTGTCCATCAGAATGGCGGCCCACGTTGCCGAGGTCACAACCTCACCCTAATTGGCAAGGAAGACAGGCCTTTGCCAGCTGCCTTTGTCCTGACGGAGGAAAGCCCCCAGCAAGGGAGAACAGTTTGTACGGAGCCTCAACGTCCATACTTCTGGCCTTCTTCAGGTATCTCTGTCTTAATGAGGCATTGGCAGAGTGAGTCATCTAGTCTTAATTTAAATCTGATTCCAAAAGACAGATCTGGTTTTAAGAAAGAAAAAAAAAAAAGCTGACAGATTTCAGAGGACTTTCCCCCACTCCCCTTTTCCCCCTTTTAAAGGAACATTTCTTCGTTTAGAAAAGACTGACTCACCCTGAAGCATCAATGGTCGGCCAGCATCAATGCTCCAGATGGCTTTGTAAGTAAGATACCCGGCCCCGCCCCCCACGGTATCCACCTGCCTGCATCATCAGCGCAGCCCGGGCACAGGCAGAAGGAGCCACCGACTAATGAGCACAGGCCCGAGTGCACCACGAGGCATTCTCTGGTCACGATGTCCTGCTAATAACTTGAGAACTGTTCGGTGTCAAGGCTGCACACAGAGTGGATAATACTTGTCAGCTAATTTGGCTCTTAATAATCTGAACGTCCTGGTGTCTCTCAGACTTTTTTTTTCCATAGACAAATTGTCTTGCCTGTTAAATATGTAATGTATTCAGGAGAATTCATTTTACACGTTGAGAAAAAATGGCCTTGGAATCTTGTGGCGCCCTGGGGAGAGGCCCATGGGCATCTGGAATGGGCTGGTGGCACTGTCACAGGGTGTCAGCGTGGGTGCAGGGGAGCCAGACATTCTCCCTGACTCCCTTAGAGGGCTTGGTGAGGTTCTCCTCGGTGCTTCAGAGGAGAAAGAGAAACCCGAAATGCTGGTATTTTTAGTTCCCACTCCCTCCTTGACTGTGAATAGGAACGTGATTGAGAATCCCACCAGTCTTCAAAGCAGGCTCACCTTTAAAGCAAATGCCAAGGGTTTGAAA